CATTATATGTGTTTATGCTAGTAGTTATGATTATGCTATGCTATGTTCAGTCAGTTCCGGACTTCGGTCCGATGCAGTTTCCGGACTTCGGTCTGATGCAGAGGGCAAGGCCCTGGTTAGTTCCGGACTTCGGTCCGATGCAGTTTCCGGACTACGGTCCGATGCAGAGGGCAAGGCCCTGGTTAGTTCTGGACTTTGGTCCGATGCAGTTTCCAGACTTCGGTCCGATGCAGTGGGCAAGGCCCAGTAGTTGCTTTATATGTTATTGTATGGTATGTGGTAGTTTGGGGGAGCTCACTAAGCTTTGTGCTTACAGTTTCAGTTTTGGTTTCAGGTATCTCCGCTAGCAAGGGGAAGAGCTCGGGATGATGGCATGGCACACACCACATTTACAGTTTAGCCTGGGAGATTGACTCTGATATTTTGGATATGGTTTTGATACTAGTTTTGATTGATATTTTATTATGACATTTGAGACGCACGATTCATGGTTTTATCGTATGACATATTATATTGTGGGTTTTTAGTAATATTGAAACAAAAATTTTTGGGTTGTATTTTTGGGATGTTACATCTGGAGAGCAAAATGATGGACACAGCAGCACCGCTACCTCTCATCCATTGTTTCGATTTGGAAGATATGTCCACTAGGCAGTGAATTTGTATATGTCGCTTTTCTTTTTTCTTTTTACATTTTTGTATATTCATTTAGTCAATGATTTTTTTGTGGCTTATCAGGTCGTGAATGGAAGATATACTCGAGTCAATATCTATAATGCTTTACCCATTCGATCCCTTCCTGGATTTGGAGATGGAATTTAAACCCTTATACCATTGAGTGATCCACATATTCTACAACTCAGCAAAACCCAATAGTGATATGTGTTTTGATTTATTGTAAAAAACATCTTTAAAAATACAAATTGGGCTCTCAGAAATAAGTTATTCACTTATCCTTTTTTAATATTATAAAAGAACATCTTTTATACTCAATAGCAAAGAAAAGACAAAGTTTTAGTATATCATGTAAATCGATTACATCGATAAATCTTATTGGAAAATGTTTGGGATTGATTAATTTTGGTTAATCAGCAGGGTTTTTTTGGTTAACTTGTGTTGTCAGGGCATGCCGAGAAGCATAGTAAGAACCTTGCACAACCTTATTCTTTCGTTTAACTGGTTTGAATCTTCTTATTGAGTTTACTTTCTCAAGGATAAATGGGTACACCCTACACTCTTGAAAATAGGGTTGGTAACATTGTGAGTATCAAGGTTTTCTCAACAATAAGAGAAGATATGTGTATAAAAGTTGCAATATAAACCATTTTTAATTACATAATAATAACTAAACAAAGATATGTGAATGATTATCTTTATAATTTAAATTGCAATATATAACATAAAAATCGTATGAAATTTTCATTGTTCCATTCCATGCCTCACAAACATGTTTCTGGAATGGAATTACTTATTCTATTATCTTGCTTTTACGATTACCTATCCATTCCATTTCTTTGTTGTTCCATTCTTTGCAACCTCACATATCTCAAAAAAGTAATTCAGAAATTCATCATATAATAGAAAATGTTTTATAAACTCCTATAAGGGAAGAAGAAAGATAAGACTAAATGAATGTATGGTGTTAATCTAATTATGATGTTCTTTCGTCTCTATTTGCATGTTTCTAGCTTGTTTGTAGTATTGTCTATAAAATACTGTTGTTATATTTGAAAGTTCATTTTACCCTTTTCATCTTTTTGTGTGTATATTTTAATCTTTCAGGTTTTTTTAAAGTATTTGAGGGGCCGTTTCTGCTTGGGAGTGGGGTGAAGTCAAGGGCCCTAAAACTAGAGGGTAGTTGTATTTAGAGCCACTTAAATATTGAAGATTTTTGTTGGCATTAATTTCAATAATCATATATACCCTAGAATAGATATCATAACCATAGTTTATTTTTTATAACGTTTTTTTGTATTTTTATTAAATGTTGTACAAGTGATGTCTAGAAGGTGTTGATATTTTTTTGTTGGCAAATTATTACGCTATCTAACACCCCAATAATCTATAATATTTGTATAAGATGGTGACAACTATTATTTTTTATTGCAGCATCCCTTCATATTGATTATACAATGTGGTTTGAGTTCTGGAATGCTGCCACTGAGAGGATTCCACATTGTGGGCCGTTGGAATTCATTACAAAATGAGGCATGATTTATATGCCTTATTGGGTATTGATGAAAATTTTTAATTCTTGCTCATGTAGATCGATAAGTATTTTACAATATGCTCTTTTAACCTTATATCAGGACCTTTTCTGGAAAAAATTGCTTTTAGTATTGAACTTTGAATTTTTTTTTCATATATAGCATCGTACTCTTTAAAAAATGACTTTTTTGGATTATTTTTATTTGATATGGAAAGTTACATTTTTTGTATATTGAAGATCATTCAAAGGATTGTTTTCTGGAAAAAAAATATTCATTAATAGCATTAAACTTTGCAAAAAGTTCATTAATAGCATCGTAGTTTCAAAAAAGGACTTTTTCGTATTCTTTTTGGCCAATCTAGAAAAGTTTTATTTTTATGTACATTAGAGCTCATTAATAGGATTTTTTGAAAACATTTTGTTAATAGAAAGTATATTTTCATTTTCTTTCGCATATAGACCATTTATATAAAAAAAACATTTCAAATATGGACCATTTATGTACTTTTGTTCACAAGTGAACCATTTATGTAATATATAAATTTAGATGTTAATTAGTAGGTCATTAATATGACAATTTTCTAGGGAAAATTTGTTTTTAGTATTGAAATTTGCAAAAAAAAAAAAAAAAAAAAATTCATTAACGGCATTGTACTTTAAAAAAATATTATTTTGGAATATTTTTAGATGATATTGAAGCGTTTCATGTTTTCCAACATTGAAGCTCATTGGTAGGACAGTGCTCTGGAAGCGAATTTCATTAATAGCGTTGAACTTTGCAAAAAAAATTCATTAATAGCATCGTACTTTTAAAAAATAATTTTTTTGGAATTCTTTAACTGCAGGTAGATTCCTTGAATGCCTACCTTGATGAACATATGTGGAGAAATCTTTTTGGAAATGGATAAAATCCTGATATGACAACCCGAACAAGAAAAAGGAAAACCCAGTTTTGACTAACCCAATTTATTCAAAATCTTTATTCATTTTAGTAGCTTACACACCATTTAGATGCTTTCAAAATAGCATATGAAATAACTTTGAGATGTAATGAAGCTAAAATGTTATTTGACATGTTTTGTACTTTCTAATGATCATTACCAGGAACATTTGAAGGATTTTTTTACCAGAAAGAATGTGATAAATATACAAAACAGTGTTGCATATTCAGAACCTAATGTTCTTAAGTTACTGTAATAAGGTCTTCTTGTAATAGTTGATTGGCCCTACCCAACTATCCCATGCACGTTAATGGATTTATGTTGTTCTAAATGCGTTAAAATGCTTCACTTAGGTGTTACTCAACACATGGTCTGTGGACTATCCACATTGATTTCATGATTGAGAAGAACACATCACATCGACCAAGATCAGACCATCAACCATATTAGTGACACCCACTGAGATTAGCAATGTAATTTGAGTAATCATCCAAAACAGACAATGAACTTTGAATTGTAGTAAATCTAAAATTAATTCCTAAATTGTACATCAAACTTCCAACATTAAACCTTGAACATTTTCAATTAATGTTATCGAGTTGATATGCATTTGATTATTTAGGTATATCGTAAATTGTTTAGCTTCCACTGTTGAATTATGGCGTGAATGTAAAGTTTTACGTTTAACCGTAAACATGAGGCTTTAGTTTGGTTGTCTAACTAATGATTCAGATGAGACAAAAGAATTTGATGAATGGATTCTTAAAATTAGTGAAGGTAATACTGGTGGCCCTAATGATGGTGAAGTTGAAGTTGAATTTCCAGAAGATGTTGTTGTTTGCTCTACAGGTGACCATATTCATTCAATTGTATCTACCATTTATCCATCATTTGAAAACCATTTTGATGATCCATCATATTTTCAAGATAAAGCTATTTTGGTACCTACAAATGAAGAATTCGATGCTACCAATGACTACATTTTAGGATTGATGAAAGATGAAGGGAAAACATATATGAGTTCAAACTCTTTATGTGAGATAGAGTTCCCAGATTTTTTTGAGGAATCAATCTACTCTTCAGTTGTGTTGAATGGTTTTAAGGCGTCTAGAATTTCCAACCATAAACTTACACTAAAAATAGGTGTTCCAGTCATGCTACTTCGTAATATCGAACAAACCAAAGGACTATGCAATGGTACTAGGTTACATATTGTTAGGATTGGAAGACACGTCATTGAAGCCTGAATCATATATGTTAGATTCTTCAACGAGACTACTTATATACCTTGCATTAAGTTAACACCGTCTAATTAAAGAATCTCATTCCGTTTTTAGCGGAGGCAATTCCCCATAGTTGTTTATTTTGTTATGACCATTAACAAAAGTTAATGACAATAATTACCAAATGTTGGATTATACTTGCGTAGACTCGTCTTCACTCATTGTTAGTTATATGTTTTTTGTTTCTCGTGTCACAAGTGAAAAATGATTGAAAGTACTCATATATGACGAGGAAGGTCGTCCAACTACTAAAACAAAAAGTTATATTTACAAAAGGATCCTTCAACGATCATAGATATTCATGTGTTTCATTGTTTTTTTTTTCAGACATTTCAATGTTACCAGTAATACTAAATCTGTTTTTGTTACTTTATTTTTTTATAGTGCCAACTTTTTTATACCTTTATATGTATATTTTTATATGTTCTCCGCGTTTTATGCGGGTCATAATCTAGTTTTTTTTTTTTAAAAACACACACCATTGTTGCAAAGCTTTTTAGAAACATCCCCATTTTCACAAAATTCTCTAGTCCATAATTAGATTATTTCAGCATTTAAATATATGCTATGGAAGGCAATATAAATACTCAGTCTGAAGCTATAAGTTCAACCTTAGACATATATATGGGTCTTGCAAAAAGCCATTTGGGTATTATTTCTTTTCTGTTGATCCTTACACGTTGCCAAAGTTGTCAGGAGCATTTCAACAAACATGTGGCGCTCTTCGTTTTCGGCGATTCCCTTTTCGATCCTGGAAACAACAACTACATAAACACTACTACCGAGCTCCAAGCGAATTTTTGGCCCTATGGCGAATCATACTTCAATCCTCCAACCGGAAGATTCTCCGATGGTCATATCATCCCTGATTTCATCGGTAATTAACAACCACCAAATTCTCGATCTCTTTTATAAATCGACATCTTTCTTATTCCTAACTTAATTCACTTCTATTAACAGCTCATTTTGCTGGATTGCCTCTCATTCCTGCATATCTCGACCCCCATAATAATGAATTTCTGTATGGAGCAAACTTTGCATCAGCGGGATCTGGTGTATTAGATGAAACTCAACCTACAATTGTATGTGTATATACCTTCTTCGTTTCTACCATTGAATCTCCTCCTCTTTCATATATCATGAATTAATGAATGTAGGCAGTTAAGCTCACGACACAGCTACAGTATTTCACCGATTTAGTGAAACATTATAGGAAGAACTTAGGTGATGTGAAAGCCGAGCAGCTATTGTCCGATGCTGTCTTTTTGTTCAGTTGCGGAAGCAACGATTATCAAATCCTCCTCGAAAACAACAAAAGTAGTCTTCTTTATGACGAGTACGTGGAAATGGTGATCGGAAACTTGACTCAAGTGTTCAAGGTAATTAACAGTTTCCAATTACATTGATCAACATATTCAATTCAAACTACATAACTTCAATGATCTTTTGATTTAATTAAAAAAGGTAATCCATGAAAAAGGAGGAAGGAAAATTGGAATCACTACGCTCACATCATTAGGCTGTTTGCTACCAGTTCGTGCAGAAAGGCCAGACAATACATGCGATGAAGAACTTAACATCATATCAACTCTACACGATAAATCACTTTCCAAGAAACTGCAAGATCTGACGCAACAATGGGAAGGATTTATGTATTCAAAGTTCGAGCTCCAGACTGAGATTACCAAACGGATGAAAAACCCATCAAAATATGGTTGTAGTACTCCTGAGTTTCATTGCTTTAATTAAATTGATCATGAACTATCATCATTTAATTCATTGTTGGGATTTGAATGGATTTTCAGGTTTAAAGGTAGGAAACAGTGCATGTTGTGGTACTGGACCTTTTCGAGCGATTAATAGTTGTGGAGGGAAGAGAGAAACACGAGAGTTTGAATTGTGTGATAACCCTAACGATTATTTATTGTTCGATCCCTATCATCCTACTGAAGCAGCGAACCTGCAATTGTCAGAGCTGTTTTGGGAGGGAGATTCCAAAGTCGCATCACCCTACAATTTAAAAAGCTTGTTTCAAGGTATGTTTGTTGATATCGTTCAACATACAACCCAATAGATAAGTAAATATTTATAGAGGACTAGTTGAGCCCAGGTTTAAAGATAAGTTTAATTTTGTGCTCTCGTGTTTCTTCTAGTCTTTAGGTACAAGTTTAGCTTTGCATATTTAACTTTTGTATCTAATTTGGATGAATATATACAACGAAAATTGCTTCAAGCTCTATGTTTCCTCTTCCTGTTTGTTTGTTTGTTTTTTTTTTTTTTTCCTTCGGAGATTTAGACCATCCATAATGGATTAAATTCAATGAATTATGATTGCATCAGGTTTAGTTTTGGAATTTTTTTGACTTGACATGTTTGAACTCATTAGATAAAACAAAGGAGGTGGGGATGGAACGGTGGTTGTTAGTTGATATGTGATGGCTTTGGTTGTTGAAGGTGAATGTTGTGTCACCGGTGAGATGAGAGAAGAGAAGGGTGGCATTTATTTTGATTCTCAGAAGAGGAACATAAGAAAAGAGTGTTTTTTAGCGAGAGAGATCACCTTTGAAATTGGAGTGGACCCATTATAACTAATATCATTCAAAATATAAAACCAATAATAAAGAAAAGCTAAAAATATAAATAAAGTATAACAATCATTACTTGTCCGACAAAGATAAAATCCAAAACAAAACTACACTATAGTCCGAGTTAAAAAAAAAAAATTAAGTATCAAACACGTAAATCACCCAAAAACCACAAGAACAATCGGTACAATTTACTCTAAAATAACAATCGGTAAAAAAAATTAAGTATCAAACACGTAAATCACCCCAAAACCACAAGAACAATCGGTACAATTTACTCTAAAATAACAATCGGTAAAAAAAATTAAGTATCAAACACGTAAATCACCCCAAAACCACAAGAACAATCGGTACAATTTACTCTAAAATAATAATGATAAAGGTCTTATATGCTATGAGATGTATGTGCTGTATGCTGTTATATGATATGTATGTGTTATGTATGTTATGAATGAGAAGCACCCGAAGGTCATTATGATGTGGACCGGAAGGTCATGATGATATGGACCGGAAGGTCTACCAGGGTTGTGGGACGGAAGTCCTCTGAGACACAGTAAACGGAAGGTCTTATAGCCTTGAGTGGCGTATGTGCGTATGTCGAATGGACCTTGTGACAAGAATTAGAAAGTGCCTACAGATTTCCAAGGAAATAAGGTTTTAAAAAATGATTTTGGTTGGTATTTTGTTGCTATTTCCGATAGATAATCTACCTCTACCTATTTGTTAGGAACCGGACCGGGTACACGCAGCGGAAACACACTATCACACACACACAAACTCACGAAAATAAAGCAAGAAGAACACAAGGATTTTACGTGGTTCGGATTCGGTGCAAATCCTACGTCCACGGGCTGCAACTAGAGAATTTTATTAAAACTCACAAGATTACAATTGGCTTGACACTCTACACTTGATGTTCTCTCAAGTTTTTGCACACCAAATATGCAAAACATACATGCATATATATAGGTGAATGTTTGCCATGTGAAAACAGAAAGAGTTGTAACCAATTTAAAGTCTACCAATTTCAAGTTTGAACATGTTGAATGCACCACTTATTTTCCAACTTTCAGTTTGAATTTGATTCTTTTATTTCACATGCATAGCCACATGTTTTCAACCTTTCATATTTTACCTAACAATCTCCCACTTGAAAGTTTGAACAACATGGTCCGTCTCTGTCATCCAACTCCAGTAATCTTAAAACAACCAAGTCTTCCAAGCCTCCAGTTCCTAAGAACAAGCTAAACTTAGTCCCATTTCTCTAATTGCAGCCGCCCCTCATCTTCAAGTACTAGAAGGGCCAGTTGAAGCTCCCACTAGCTCCAACTCAGTCGTGGCTAATCCCACCACCGACTCATCCTCTGTCTCAACCGGTTTGGACACTCCACCAGATCCAGAGATACACCGAGGACCACTAACACTCTCCAAACTTTGCAAACTTCCAACAAGAGAGAATTTTCCAGTCTTAGTCTTCAAAACCCAACGACTCTTTGTAACTGTACCCGGAACACACCCCGTGCTCCCACTGTCATAGAATCCCCTGAATGGTTTAGAATTTCCGACTCGTTCAGCTAACATCCCCTTGGCTCCAGAATTCATGTTTGCAAAATGAACTCTCTTAGCAGTAGATTTAGCGAACCAGATTTTGTTTTGCTTAATCGGGATGGTCATACTTCCCTCAGCAGGTACCTCAACCATATACAATGACCCACGCTTCATACCTTGAGCAATCACCGAATTACCATTGACCACCATCCATTTACCACCACCAAACCTTACTTCCAGTCCTTGTTTATCCAGCTGACCAACAGAAATCAATTTTTTCTTCAGCTCCGGAATAACCCTGACATTCTTCAGGCTCCATGTAGTTCCCAATGAAGTAACTAGATCAATATCTCCCATGCCCGTTACTTGAAGCATCTCGTCATTTGCTAACCGTACCTTTCCAAAATCTCCTTTCTTTAGATTCACCATCGTTTCCCCGTTGTCCATGGCGTGAAACGAAGCCCCTGAATCCATGACCCAAGTGTCCACAGAACTTTCCATATTGAGTATCAGTGCATCATCCTCAGACACACTCTCAGCACCAGCAATGTTTAATTCTTTCTTTGGACATTGACTCTTAACATGTCCCACCTCTTGGCAGTTCCAGCATTTCACATTCTTCAAAGTTCTAGAAGAACTTTTTCCCCGACTCCCACTGCTCCTGCTATTCCCTCTACCTCTTCCGACATTTAATAAATCAGAAGAAGAAGATCCACCTTGATTCTTGCGTCTGATATCTTCGCCAAGAACCAAATCTCTAACCCTTTCAAAAGTCATACCACTTGTCCCCACGGAACTCGTAACAGCAGTAACTGTTCCGGACTAGCTATCAGGTAGGGAAGCTAGTAGCAGTGATGCTTGAGTCTCGTTATCAAATTTAATTCCCACAGATGATAATCTGGACAGAATTGAATTTAGATTGTTAATGTGAACCGTAACTGAGCCTTCCTCATTCATCCTTGTAGTGAACAACTCCTTCATCAAGAACACCTTGTTAGCCGCCGATGGTTTCTCATACATATTTGACAGAGCCTCCATCATACCACGCGCCGTGGTTTCATTCATGATGTTGAAAGCAACACTCTTCGTCAACGACAATGTAATAACCGCCTTGGCTTTCTTGTCCTTTGAGTTCCACGCATCTTCAAAAGCTTTTTCCATTTTCTCCGGTTTGTCTCCGAGTACCATGTCCAAGTCTTTCTGACATAGCAATGCTTCTAATTGCATTTTCCACCAGCTAAAATCAGAACCGTTGAACTTTTCGATTACAACCTTGTCTTCAGCCATTACGACAAACAAGATACAAATCAGGTACACTCGTGCGTGATAAAAAAAAAATGATTGTACCCTCCAAACCTCGCTAATCTGGCTCTGATACCAGTTGTTAGGAACCGGATCGGGTACACGCAGCGGAAACACACTATCACACACACACAAACTCACGAAAATAAAGCAAGAAGAACACAAGGATTTTACGTGGTTCGGATTCGGTGCAAATCCTACGTCCACGGGCTGCAACTAGAGAATTTTATTAAAACTCACAAGATTACAATTGGCTTGACACTCTACACTTGATGTTCTCTCAAGTTTTTGCACACCAAATATGCAAAACATACATGCATATATATAGGTGAATGTTTGCCATGTGAAAACAGAAAGAGTTGTAACCAATTTAAAGTCTACCAATTTCAAGTTTGAACATGTTGAATGCACCACTTATTTTCCAACTTTCAGTTTGAATTTGATTCTTTTATTTCACATGCATAGCCACATGTTTTCAACCTTTCATATTTTACCTAACACTATTCTAATAAATGAAACCTAAAAATGACACATGTCAGTTTTTTAGAATGTCTGTTTGACACGTGACATTTTTCTATGATTTTTTATTGTTTCCTTTTTTTTGGTAACAAATCAATTTCATTCAAAATTTGAAAATATAAAATCATATCCTAATAACATTATTATGTTTATTTTGCTTAATAAATTAATTCATAATTACTTATAATCGACAAGATCTTGGTTTTTGACATTTATTATTTTTTTATCTATATAAAAATTTTAAATATACCGACCGTGGTTTCCACGAGTTATAACCTAGTTAGTATTTTAATGAAAAGAAGCATTTTTCTTAATTTTCGTTGGTATTTTGTCAGTAATTTTCAATTGATTTTCAAACAGATTTGTTTCTGTCATTAGTTTGTTAAAATCATTATAAATTAAGTTTTTTCCCCAAAAGGATCATTCGTTGTGTTCAACATATCTTTTCCGGTAGGAATTTTTCATGGGAAAATATCCACCTTATACTAATGGCCATACTATCCAAATTCACCTTAAACTCGATTTCAACCGACAAAATATGTTTATTGTATTGATTTAACGTGTTTGAAAAAACTACACATCATAATCTTGATAAATTTCACAGAAAATTAATAACACGCTTATTTATATATTATATTGACAAACATGCCCTACCTTTTTAATAGTTTGTAACCTAACTCTTAAAACATGTTTGTGATGTTGCATGGAACATGTTTAGAACATCAATGGATCCATTTTTCACTTTAGAACTTTCACAAAAATGTTTAAAAAACTATGTTTTCGTTTTAACAGACATTAAGACGTTTTATTGTAATAAACATTTAAAATTCATTCAAACTATATTTTATCCAACTAAAGATCTTACTTTGTTTTCTAATAGTTTGATAAGTCTGTTATACTTAAATGGTTAAATTTATATAAAATAGTAGAAAAACTACGTTGAGATAACGACTAAAAAAATGTTCCTTTTTAAATCAAAGTCAACGACAACAACAAACTAGACCAAATTTGCTCTTTACTCTAAATTTAACTACTCAAAGTGAAGGTTGAAGATGATCAGCTTCAGACATAGGCCAGTTGCCAAAAGCGATTTGGGATTCCGACTTGTTGTTTCGTGTTTGTTCCTCCTCTTTACAGGTTGCCAGAGTTCTCAGGGGATTTTCAACAAACATGTTGCGCTCTTCATTTTTGGAGATTCACTTTTCGATCCTGGAAACAATAACTACATAAACACTGATCCGGGCTTCCAAGCGAATTTTTGGCCATATGGAGAATCATACTTCAATCCGCCAAGTGGAAGATTCTCTAATGGTCGTCTCATCTCTGATTTCATCGGTGACAATATCTCAAACAACCGCCAATTTTTTTTTTTTCTTTCAATTTCTTTCTTATTATTCTTGATTTTGTTTCTGTTGACAGCTGAATATGCTGGATTGCCTCTCATTCCTGCGTATCTCGACCCCCATTATAATGAATTTCTGTATGGAGCAAACTTTGCTTCAGGGGGCGCTGGTGCCTTAGTTGAAACCAATACGAAATTCTCCGTATGTATCCCTTCTTCATATCCACAATTGAGTTTTCTCATATATTGATTTCATATATAAGTTAAATGGATTTAGGTACTTGATCTCAAAACACAGCTACAGTATTTCTCCGATTTAGAAAAACGTTATAGGAAAGATTTAGGTGATGTGAAAGCCGAGCAGCTGTTGTCCGATGCTGTCTACTTGTTTAGCTGCGGATGCAACGACTATCTAGCCCTCACCTCCAACAACCTGAGTAATCTTCATTACGAAGAGTATGTGGGAGTGGTGATTGGAAACTTGACCGATGTGTTCAAAGTAATTAAACAGGAATTACGTTTCTAATTAATTAATTACCTTAATATTTAAACAATTCTTTTTTCTTAACTTAAAAAGGGAATCTATGAAAAAGGTGGGAGGAAGATTGGTATTGGTACGATCCCACCATTAGGTTGCTTGCCTTATGTTCGTGCACAACAGCCTGGCAATACCTGCAACGAAGAACTTAACACAATATCAAGTCTACACAATCGCGCATTTTCCAAGGAATTACAAGAGCTGACACAACAATTTGAAGGATTCATGTTTGCAAACTATGATCACTCGACTGCTCTTAGCGAACGGATGAAGAACCCATCAAAATATGGTACTCGTAGTTGAGTGAGTTTCATTGCTTTGAATTTATGAAGTATCATATGAATCATGGTTGGAATTTGATGGATGTGCAGGTTTTAAGGTAGGAGACAGTTCGTGTTGTGGTAGTGGTCCTTTACGAGGGATTTATAATTGTGGAGGCAAAAGAGGAATACGAGAGTTTCAATTGTGTGATAATCCTGACGATTATGTTTTCTTCGATGCCCCTCATCCTAGTGAAGCCGCAAGCCGCCAATTCGCAGAGCACTTTTGGAACGGAGATTCCAAAGTCACATCACCTTACAATTTAAAAGCCTTGTTTCACGGTAGGGATATCAAAAAGTTCCGTATGATTCAAACCGTGTGACCCTAATTTCATATGAAGGATATTTGTTTAATTTCATATGAAGGATATTTGTTAAAAATATTAGGGGCGGGGCGGGAACAAAATTAACCCCGTTGTAATTTCAGGGGCGGGGTAGGGGTAGGAGTCCCGTCTGATATTACAATGGGATAACATGTACCATATAATCACACAAATTTTAGCAAGAGGGTATTTTGGACAATTAACTACAATTATAAAAGGAAATTTTCGGATTTTTAGGGATAATTAATTCTCCTAATTTTAAAAATCTGAATTTTTTTAATTAATTCAATTTTAATTCTAACATAATTTGTAAACATAACCAATTTTATTCTGTCAGAATATTTTTTTTGTTAGAATGATGCTCTTTTAGAATTTTATTCTATTAGAATATTATTGAAGAATAATGTCACACCCCAAAACCAGAAAGGCGGAAAAGTTCTGGGGTGGAGGACGTCATGTATAGCATCACAACCAATGTATAATAGCAATCATAGCAACACAACCATTACATTGAATACTAAAGTAAAAATGTTTACATCAGTCTGAAACTTGTTTGAATTACATCAAATAATTTGTATGAATAAAGCATAAAACTCTTATTGCTCCAACTCCTCAAAAATTCGGCAGGTACCTGTCTACTGATTTCCTGAGAATACAAGCAGTTTGAAAGAATATCAGCATAAAGCTGGTGAGTTCATAAGCGGTAGTTTGTAATGAAAACTTGTTGATGAGCTCGTAAAAGTGTTTTGTATAGTTTCAAGAAAATCCGATATAATTTCTTTAGTGAAAATGTAGTGTTCTCAATTCTGTATGAAATCGTGAATGTTTGTTACTGAAAACCGTAGTGATGAGCGAAAATAATACTTCATGAGACTAGCTAATGCTAATCATGATGTATAAGTATTTCGTACAAGAAACCATTGTATGTTCAGTTTTGTTAGAAAACTCTGAAAGTTCTCCAGTTGTAGTGTGTATTAGTTCTATTTAGCATAAATAAAACTATTGAAGAGTGCCGGGTTGTAAACTAAAGATGATTTATACATAATGTGAGTCGTATAACCATACTTGATATGACTAGAGACCTTTCCAACGTTCTTCAGGCGCCGAGTTAAATGACATTTGTCACCCTAGGCATGCCTGCCCAACTGTAGCTAGCAGTTTGGGTGTGGGATTGTCAGTACCGAATAGATCTATTCACAAATCTCACGCTCTCCCTCCAGGAGACTCTGGTTATACTATGATAGGATTTATCCCTGTACACCTAAGGGTACAGTAACAAAGTAGCGCCTCACAGTATCGTACAATCTAGTTTACATGTAGTGTAGTAGCGTTCTACCATAGTGAAAATCCGTATGTATACTGTATGTAGTGATGATTACAGTTAAGAATACCATGATAAAGTAGTGATGCAAACTGTAAACTATTTCTGTCTTAGTGCATATGTTTAGTAGTGAAAGTTTCTGTACTTGTTATGTTTAGAAAAATCCCAAACTATACCGATTATAGTTTGCATGTATAACGTAGTGAATAGCGTGCCCGGAAAACTATGCAATTTTAGTGAAAACGTCCCTTATGCTCAATACAGTACAAAAGGGTTAAAGTATGAGAATTGCATGAGTTTTGAAAACATTTATGTTTAGCTTGCATTCCCCCTGAAAACATTAAAAATACGGAAAATGTAGGGGTATGAACTCACCTTGAGTGAGTGGTTTGATTGAAGGATCGATACGGAAAGCTGGGTGTTCAAGTGAAGCCTTAAACACGATTCGATCCTAATTAACATGCAATGACACATAAAAGAGTCAAATGAAGGTATTTCACCACTATAAGTGATGGAAAACCACTCTAGAGACTTGGATCTACTAGCACTAAGTGTTCGGACCTTGTAGGGTTGCATGAGGGGAGTGTATGGCCACCTTATAGGTGTGTACTGCCATGGGTGTGCGGCCCAACGGGTGCGCGGCCGTACACTCATGATTAGAGGTGTTCTTGTGGTGTTTCAAGGTCCATACTTGCAATCCATGAAGTGTTCTTGGTCTATACTTAGTTGTAGTACAAGTTTAGGGTCTTAGAAGTGAGTTTATGGTCCGAGAATGAGTGTGCGGTCGCACACAAGGGTGTGTGGTCGCACACTTGGGTGTGCTGCCGCACACTTGGAGTGTGCTGCCGCACAAGGGTGTGTGCGGCCGTACACAGGTGTGTGCGGTCGTACACCCCACACAAAAATGTCCAGAATGCCATTTCCAAGGTGTAGCAAGGCTATGGACATGTCTATCTCGAATATGGAAGTCAAACTCTCACTTTGGAGGTTGTTTTAAGAGTGTGCGGCCACCTTAAAGGGGGTGTGCGGCCGCACTCTCTTCCATACACTAAGAGCATGTCGATTTTTTTGCACACTTAAGGTCTAGATAGAGTGGTCTTTCATGGTTATCAAGTTAGAGGATGAATTACTCACGTTCTTGAAGCTTTGGAGGGTTTGTGGTTGAAGAAACTTAAGAGAAATGGTGTTGTGTGCTGCCAAGGTGTTAAAGGAATGAAAGGAAGGGAGTCTACCCTTTATATAGGGGTGAGAGTGCTGCCCAAAAGTGAGTGTGCTGCCAAGGGAGTGGGTGTGCGGCCGCACACCCATGTGTACGGCCGTACACTCCTCCAAGAGGTGTGTATGGCCCGATTTTCTCACTATACTACACTCTGAATCATCCCTAAACTCGACCTTGGTTACATACAAGTTTAGAACACTTAAATGAACCCTTAAATAGCACCAGAAATCGACAAAACAAGTTGATTATTGATTGAATTGACTAAGTGTACAAGATAGAAGTTCCGGGTTGTCACATCATCCCCCCGTTAGAGGGAATTTCGTCCCGAAATTCAGAAATAGAGTACAAATCATGAACTTGGAAAGAGATGAGGGTACTTCTGCTTCATTGAATCCTCGCGCTCCCAAGTGAATTCAGGACCTCGCTTGGCATTCCAGCGAACCTTCACTATCGGAATGCGACTCTGTTTCGTACGGTTGACTTCCCGGTCCATGATTTCGACAGGTTCTTCCACGAAGTGTAGACCCTTGTCTAATTCGATCTCGTCGAGAGGAATCACAAGTGTCTCATCGGACAGACACTTCTTTAGGTTCGACACATGGAAAACAAGATGGATGTTGCTGAGCTCTCGTGGTAACTAGAGTTTGTATGCTACGAGACCGATCCTAGCAAGGATCTCAAATGGTCCAATGTACCTTGGGTTTAGCTTTCCACGTTTTCCGAAACGTATCATGCCTTTCCAGGGCGAGACCTTCAGAAGTACGCAGTCACCGACCTGGAATTCCAAGGGTTTTCATCTCTTATCGGCGTAGCTCTTTTGTCTATCTCGTGAGGCTTTCAGTCGTTCTCGGATTTACACGATCTTTTCAGTCGTCTCTAGGATAATTTCAGGACCAGTGAGAGTGCTGTCAGGGACTTGACCCTTGACTAGCTGCGTGTCACCCACTTCAGCCCAGCACAGAGGGGATCTGCACTTGCGGCCATAGAGGGCTTCAAACGGCGCAGCCTTGATGCTGGTATGGTAGCTGTTGTTGTAGGAAAATTCAACCAAAGGAAGATGAGTGTCCCATGACGCGCCGAAGTCGATGACGCAGGCTCTCAACATGTCTTCCAATGTCTGAATTGTCCTCTCACTCTGTCCGTCATTCTGCGGATGATAAGCCGTGCTCATATCCAATTTAGTTCCAAGAGCCTTCTGTAGTGATTGCCAGAATCTCGAGGTAAATCTGCTATCTCGGTCGGAGATAATGGATACAGGCACCCCATGAAGGCGAACTATCTCTTGAATGTAGATCCGTGTGAGCCTCTCCATCTTGAAGTTTTCTTTGATTGGCAGGAAGTGAGCGGACTTCGTCAACCGATCGACAGTTACCCAGATGGCATCGTGCCCACTCGGAGATCTGGGTAACTTGGTGATAAAATCCATCGTTATCCTTTCCCACTTCCACTCAGGTATCTCTGGCTGATGAAGTAAACCTGAGGGCTTTTGATATTCTACTTTAACCTTGGCACAAGTCAGGCACTTGCCCACGAAAGTAGCAATTTCCGCTTTCATGTTTGGCCACCAATAGAGTTGTTTGAGATCCATATACATTTTATCTCAACCTGGGTGGACGAAGTATCTTGTCTTGTGAGCTTCGTTCATGACAACTTCTCTGTAACCACCATACTTCGGGGTCCAGATACGGTCCATGAAATAGTAAACTCCGTCTCCCTTGACCTCTAAGTTCTTGTCCATTCCCCGCAAGGCTTCATCCAAGATGTTCTCTGGTTTTAAGGCTTCCAGCTGAGCCTCTCTGATCTGCGCGGACAGATGGGAATGGATGGTCATTGTTAGTGCCTTCACCTTACGCCCTGAATACTCCTTTCGGCTGAGGGCATCTGCTACCACATTGGCCTTTCCGGGATGGTAACGAATTTCGCATTCGTAGTCACTGAGTAGCTCTACCCATCGCCATTGTCTCATGTTTAACTCCTTCTGATCAAAGATATGCTGCAAGCTCTTATGGTCGGTGAAGATAGTGCACTTGGTTCCGTAGAGATAATGTCTCCAGATCTTTAACGCGAAGACTACTGCTCCCAACTCTAAGTCGTGAGTTGTGTAATTGACTTTGTGTGTTTTCAACTGCCTCGAGGCATAGGCGATGACCTTTCCTCGCTGCATGAGCACACAGCCTAGGCCCTGGTTGGACGCATCACAATAGACCACGAAGTCTTCCGTCCCTTCGGGCAGGGACAAGATAGGTGCGCTGCATAGGGCCTGCTTCAATGTTTGAAACGCAGTGTCTTGCTTGACTCCCCAACTAAAGGTTACCCCTTTTTGTGTCAGGGTAGTTAAAGGCTTAGCGATTCTGGAGAAATTTTGGATAAATCTGCGATAATAGCCCGCGAGACCCAAGAATTGCCGGATTTCTGTGGGTGTCTTTGGTGCAGGCCAATTCTCTATTGCTTTGATTTTGGAAGGGTCCACGTGTATACCTTCCTTGCTAACCACGTGACCAAGGAAATTCACCTTCCTGATCCAGAACTCACACTTTGAAAATTTTGCATATAGCTTCTCCGCCCTTAGTGTTTCCAGCACCTGCCTCAAGTGCTGTTTATGATCGTCCTCACTCCGAGAATAGACAAGTATATCTTCGATGAACACGATCACGAACTTGTCTAGGAAAGGGCGGCACACTCGATTCATCAGGTCCATGAATACTGCCGGTGCGTTGGTCAGACCAAAGGGCATTACTACAAATTCGTAGTGTCCATAGCGAGTTTGGAATGCTGTCTTGGGTACATCATTCTCGTGAACTCGCAACTGATGGTACCCTGATCTTAGATCTATCTTTGAGAAATAACTGGCTCCCTGAAGTTGGTCGAAGAGATCGTCGATTCTGGGTAAGGGACATCGGTTCTTGATGGTCAGATTGTTCAGTTCTCGGTAGTCAATGCACATCCGAAAGGATCCATCTTTCTTTTTCACGAATAAGATCGGAGCTCCCCAAGGTGAGGAACTCGGCCTTATGAATCCTTTGCTGATCAGCTCATTGAGCTGGCTGGATAATTCTTGCATCTCCGCTGGCGCTAGACGGTAAGGAGATTTAGCTACAGGAGTAGCTCCGGGGATCAAGTCGATACGAAACTCGACTTGACGCTCGGGAGGAATTCCTGGGAGATCTTCAGGGAAGACATCAGGAAAGTTACAGACTTCGGGGATGCTCCCGAGGTCTTTACCCTTTTGTGTACCATCAACAACATGCGCTAGAAACGCATGGCATTCCTTCCGTAGGTACTTCTGAGCTTTGATGCACGAGATGATACGAAGGCTCGAACTGAGTTTATCACCATAAATCATGAGAGTTTTGCCAGAGGGAAGGTTGAGGCGAATGGCTTTCTCGAAACAAAGGATATCAACACGATTGGGGCTCAACCAATCCATACCGATAATGACATCGAAACTCTTAATAGATACAGGCATAAGATCGATAGGGAAGGAATGATTGCCTAAGGTAAGCGTACAGCCTATGAATATGTCATTTGCGCTCTCTTTCTCTCCGTTAGCCATCTCGACGGTGAACGTTTCGGTTAAAGGTTGGGATTTACATTTGATTAGATGTTTGAAGGCATGACTAACAAAACTCCTCTCCGCACCAGAATCGAAAAGAATGCATGCATGAGAGTTGTCAAGAAGGAACGTACCCGTAACAACGGTAGGATCAGCGACCGCTTCCTCCTGGCCCATCGCCAAAACCCTTCCTGAATTGCCACCAGTTGTTGCCTTGGGGCAGTTTCTCCTGAAGTGCCCAACCTCTCCACATCCATAACAAGCTTGACCAGCACCTGCTCCCGCAGCCTGGTTGGTTGGTTGGGTTGGCACCTTGCAGTATCGAGCTGTGTGTCCCTTCTTTCCACAGCTATTGCAACTCAACTCACGGCAAGGTCCGTGATGATGGAAGTTGCACTTGTTGCACAAAGGTAGTTTCCCAGCATAAACACCGGTAGGAGCTTGGGTGGTTGGAACAGTAGCTGGAGCAGCAGCAGGAGCAGTAACAGCATGAACTGCCACTATTTGTTGTTTCTTGGAGGGCTCCTGCGAAGACTGACCCTTCCGCTTGTTCCATGATTTCTTTTTCTTCCCACCACTTTCCTTTTGTGGCTCGGAGACAGCTGCCACCTCATCCAGATCGATTCCATGATCGATCAGAGTCTGAGCCAGATCCTTGGTGCTTTCAAATGTAGCCGGTCTAGAAGCCAAGACATTCCCCTTGGTTGGTTGCGTCAATCCCCAAATGTACCTCTTGATTTTCTTGCTTTCCGGGGTGACCATTCCCGGACAGAGGAGAGCCAGATCACAGAATCTCATGGTGTAGGCAGCGATGTCGGAACCCTTCATCTTTAAGTTCCAGAGTTCATGCTCCAGCTTTTGCACTTCGCCCCTCGGGCAGTATTCCGCAAGCATGAGTTCCTTCAGTCTTTCCCAACCCATGGCATTAGCCACTGGCAGGGTTAGGGTTTTGACTCGACCATTCCACCAGGTCAAGGGCTCTGTCGGTGAAGGTGCAGGCGGCGAACTTCACCTTGTTTGCTTCGGAACAGACACAAATTTCGAAGATGGATTCAATCTTCTCGAACCATCGAGTCAAAGCGATGACACCTCCATTCCCGTCGAAGGACTTGGGTTTTGCAGTCATGAAGTCCTTGTAGGAACACTCCTTTTGATGTCCCTGACTTCCGTCTTGTCTTTGTGGGTCGGTTCTACCTCCAGCCCCACCAGAGTTTACTTGTGCCATTGCTGCGGTTACAACGGCGGTAACTGCTGCCTGGAACATGACGGGGTCGAACTGAGGTGGTGGTGGTGGTGGCGGAGTGTTGTCGTTCCTTCTGATGGGTCTTGGTCGGGGAGGCATCTTTTTCTAGAAACAATCAGGAAGAAGAGGATGGTAAGTCCTCAAGATATATGAAACAAGATATATCTCAATCTGATAACAAAAGTGTTCTACCAAGCAATAACATAGAAAGGTTACTAATGCAAGTAAGTTATCGCTTAAGGAAGGAGAGGTAGCAACACTTGGAGTGAATATGTATAATGAGTTTGGCTCTAGCTAAAATACTCCTATAGTATTTTATGTGGGATGATTTTGGTAAGTTTTAGGCCTGCTGTAACACCACAGTCACTCCCAAACACATGTTGGTCATGTCTCGACTGAATATAGTTGATCAGGCTATATTCACCCTAGACATGATTACATAACTGCCCAGGTTTAACCGCAGCGTTCCAACTTTCCAAATACTTTTGTTTTGATCTGCTAATGTCACAAATCCTGTTATGTATGCATGCTCGTATACTTTTTATAAAAATACTTATATTTTTGAAAGTATACTTTTAGTGTAGAGCATTTAGGCCCCTTAGTGTTTATAGTTGTATACCATGTAAGGTTCGGTATACTAGTTCGCTAAAAACAAGGGCTCTGATACAAATCTGTCACACCCCAAAACCAGAAAGGCGGAAAAGTTTTGGGGTGGAGGACGTCATGTATAGCATCACAACCAATGTATAATAGCAATCATAGCAACACAACCATTACAGTGAATACTAAAGTAAAAATGTTTACATCAGTCTGAAACTTGTTTGAATTACATCAAATAATTTGTATGAATATAAGCATAAAACTCTTATTGCTCCAACTCCTCAAAAATCCGGCAGGTACTTGTCTACTGATTTCCTGAGAATACAAGCAGTTTGAAAGAATATCAGCATAAAGCTGGTGAGTTCATAAGCGGTAGTTTGTAATGAAAACTTGTTGATGAGCTCGTAAAAGTGTTTTGTATAGTTTCAAGAAAATCCGATATTTTCTGTAGTGAAAATGTAGTGTTCTCAATTCTGTATGAAATCGTGAATGTTTGTTACTGAAAACCGTAGTGATGAGCGAAAATAATACTTCATGAGACTAGCTAATGCTAATCATGAGGTATAAGTATTTCGTACGAGAAACCATTGTATGTTCAGTTTTGTTAGAAAACTCTGAAAGTTCTCCAGTTGTAGTGTGTATTAGTTCTATTTAGCATAAATAAAACTATTGAAGAGTGTCGGGTTGTAAACTAAAGATGATTTATACATAATGTGAGTCGTACAAAATCAATGGGACATAATATTGGTCAATGGGACTAAAATATGTGGTACGGAACTGAACTGGACAGTACAAAATCAGTTGATAGGGTGTTTGGCAAATATGGAACAAAAAGTCAATGGGACAAAATATTGGTCAATGGGACTAAAATATGTAAAGTTAGTCGCACCCAAAATGGTGGAACTGACTTGGACAAAAAGACGTAATGCTTACAAGCACCAAAATACCCTCATCTCCTATATCTTCTTGTGCAAATCGTACATATGAATAAACTCTTAATTTTTTATCCACCGCCTATGTTAATGGATCTCTTTCGTTCATCTAATGATTTCATTTATCTTATTTCTCTACATCCAGGTCTAGCAAACTGGTATTGATTTTTATTGCATCTCAATCTTTTCGTCTAATTAAACTTCTTTCCTGAAAACCTCAAAGATTTGTTTTCCTTGAGCTCTCATATGCTTAGGTTTTGAAAGCGGGCGATCTAGTTTTTACAAAGGAATCACTTATACGAAAAAGGATGCAGGTTAGGTTTTTACGGTTGATCTTCTTTTGCAATTGGTGGTTGTTTTGCGATTTATTGTGAAATCGCCATATCCTTCTACGATTTTTTGTTGAATCTTCAAGTCACGCACTTTGCAATTTTGTGATGATTTAAAAAAAAAAATACTTGGGATTGGCCGATTGGGTTATATGAACAACTCATCTATTATATTTTTGACAGCTCACTTCTCGATATGTGTTTTGTTGACAATCCATTATTTTTATATCTTCAATTTTATTGTTGAATCCAAAGAGTTTGTATCTTAAAACTCACTGTTGTTAATATACATATTTTGTTGGAATATATGTTTCATCGACTTCCTTTTATGTTTGATTGATATCTGGTGGAACAATCAAGTTGAATTAGCAAATTAGCCAACATATCAAAATAAGGATTACAATCTAAATAATTTATGTTAAAAAATAGTTATCTTTAAAGTATTGTTTATTATTTTATATTATTTTGTCTCAAGGACAATACGGTAATTTTAATATTTTGTTCTTGTTCTGTCCTAGTTCTACCGAATGTTATATAAGCAATTTGTTTTGTTCTGTTCTGTTATGTCCAACTCAGTTCTCTCCAGTCCAATCCACTTAGAGCACCCATAGAAAAAATCTGGATTTGCTAGCTGTTTCTTATCAATTGAACTAAAATACACTCTAAAGACCATATAATGGATTCAATAACACATTTATAAATCAAATAACACATTAAATAACAAATAATATGATTGATCGGAGTTCGTTGAAACCTATTTTTGCATGTCTTTGAAGTTTCCGTAGCAAACTCCCCCCCCCCCCCCACACACACACACAACGTCGTAACCAATTCAGACTTCCGCAGCAACCCAATTTGAATCCTTTTTTTGTGAATTTATAAAAATACCCCTAAAACCTCAATTCCTCAATGAGTCGAATTCCTCAGAAGGTTTAACGCTTCCGCAGAGCCCCCTCTACGGAAGTCATGGTCATTCTACAAAACTCCATTTTTCATGGTAAAAAACTTCAAACACCCCTTCCGTTTGGTTATTTGACGAAATTTATGCCAAAAAAAAACCTTATTTTAGCCCAAAAAAACTTCTTTAGTCCAAAATCAATCAGGGGCGGGGCTAGGGAGATTGAAGATTTTAAGGGCGGGGAATGGAGGAATTTCGGAGGTGGGGGTGGGGGCTACAACCCCGTCTCGTTTGTCCCCATTAACATCCATATTTCAAAGTGCTTGTTGTTTAAATTTAAGATATGATTCCTATAGTGACTTGCTAAAGCAATGATTAAACAATTGCTTGAGAAAAGATTTTGCTAATGGCACTATACCAATTTCTATTAACGCTAAAATGATGGTCATTTGGTCTCAAAATCAAGCACGGATGGTGGTTAATATAACTCTGAACCGATTTATGTAACTTATTCTACTGAAATAAAATGAAATCCTTAAAAAATTACACAAGCTCTATATATATATTTTTAATTATTATAAAAAATATACTTATTGCTTCAAACAATTATCCTATCCTATATATGCATCAGAGACTCTAGAAGTTCATGAATTAGGCGATTTTAACACTATGATTAGCTACAAAACATTTCGGTCATAATTGCTTCAAGTGTACTGAAAATTTTATAATATATAAACTGGCTAACTTGAGAAAAAAAAACAAGTATGCTGAAATAAAATTGTAAAAGAAACTAGATATTATAAGTTATAACTATAAAGTGTTGAATATATTATGATATAAGGGGGTTTAAAGTTGTAAAATGAATTTCATATTAATCATATTTTCTATATGGATCCAAATCCCCATTTTTACAAAACACACACAAAAAAAAAGCACCATTCTTGCAAAGCTTTTTATAAAGTGCACCAGTTTTTACAAATTTCGCTTGTCCATGCATTATTACATTAAATATGCTTTAAATTGAAGGCAATAAGATCAACTTTATACATATAGCTCTTGCGAAAACCCATTTGGGTATCTCACTTCTTGTTGTTTCTTATCTGTTGATCGTTACAGGTAGCGAGAGTTCTCAGGGGCATGTCAACAAACATGTCGCCCTCTTCATTTTCGGTGATTCACTTTTTGATCCAGGAAACAACAACTACATAAACACTACTACTGAGCTCCAAGCGAATTTTTGGCCCTATGGCGAATCCTACTTCCATCCTCCAAGTGGGAGATTCTCCGATGGCCGTATCATTCCTGATTTCATCGGTGGCAATATCTATCTCAAACCACCACCAAACTATCACTCTCTTTTTTAAATTCCTATATTAATTCCCTTCTGTTAACAGCTGAGTTTGCTGGACTACCTCTCATTCCTGCATATTTGGACCCCCATAATAATGAATTTTTGTATGGAGCAAACTTTGCATCGGCAGGAGCTGGCGTATTAGATGAAACACTACCTTCAAGTGTATGTATATCTACTTTTCTTCGTTTCTACCATTCAATCTCCTCATCTATTGATTTCATATATAAATTAATAAATGTACGTAGATAACGCTCAAGACACAGCTAAAATATTTCACCGATTTAGTGAAACAGTATAAGAAGAATTTAGGTGATGTGAAAGCCGAGCAGCTATTATCCGATGCCGTTTACTTGTTCAGTTGTGGAAGCAACGACTATCAAAGTAATTTATATCAGGTGGAGTATGTGGGAATGGTGATCGGAAACCTGACTCAAGTGTTTAAGGTAATTAACACAAATATATAGTGTTTCCAATTACCTCCATCAATATATATCTTCATTTTTTTTTTTTAATATTAAAAAGGCAATCCATGAAAAAGGAGGAAGGAAAATTGGAATCAATATGCTCACACCATTAGGCTGTTTGCTACCCATTCGTGCAGAAAGGCCAGACAATACATGCGATGAAAAACTTAACATCATATCAAGTCTACATGATAAGGCACTTTCCAAGAAACTGCAAGATCTGACTCAACAATGGGAAGGATTCATGTATTCAACATTCGAGCTCCAAACTGAGATTACCAAACGAATGAAAAACCCATCAAAATATGGTTCTACTCTTGTTTATCATTGCGTTAATTAAATTCCTGAACTAATACTATCATCATTTATTGTTTGGCTTTGAATGAATTTGCAGGTCTCAAGGTAGGAGACAGTGCATGTTGTGGCATAGGACCTTTTCGAGCAATTAATAGTTGTGGAGGGAAGAGGGAACCACGAGAGTTTGAATTGTGTGATAATCCTAACGATTATTTATTGTTCGATCCCTTTCATCCTACTGAAGCAGCGAACCTGCAATTAGCAAAGCTGTTTTGGGAGGGAGATTCCAAAGTCGCATCACCCTACAACTTAAAAAGCTTGTTTCAAGGCATGCATACTGATATTGGCCAACATACCAACTTAGCTGCCCCATCGCATAATGAGCCCAAGCTGATTAAGGAGAGTCGCCCCAATAGAGAAGTAAGGAGGCCTGCTAGATTCATGGACTAGTTCAGCCCAAGCTTGAAGACAAGTTTCTGTGCTCACGTGTTTTTTCTAGTCTCTAGCAGTTTATCTTCCAGTTCACCAATAACATCTACAAGCATATGATAGAATATGTCCACATGATATAAACTCATATATAGTATAATATGAAAATGTGATGTATTTAAATTATTTGTTCGGAATAAGGCAAAAAATTACCAATTGAATTATTAGATGGACTTGTTGCAGAAATGAACGTCTCGTAAGAAAAAAAAAATCGTAAAAAACTTCAGGAAGGTCCAAACACCCAGCAACAAATGTCTTGCTATAGAAGTTTATTTTGTATTTTACATCACTAATTTTAAAAGGTGCTCTATTAGGGGCAATTTTGGGGGATTTTTATCAAAATAGCATAATCTTCCACAAGTTTGAATTGCACTCTTGTGAAATCCCTTGGATACACGCTAGCTTGAACTTTTGTACGATATTCACATAAACAATGTATATTTTGTATAAAAATTATCAACGTATATATAAAAAAATTACAATAAAGTAAATAAATATTATAAAAATGGAAAATACCTTCTCCTCAATCAGTATCATTTTGATTGATTTAGGAATGTTTGGGGTTGAATCCGATGTTGGCTTCCGTAAATGTAGTATATGAACCTTTAGTGTGTAATCATTTTTCAAATTACCAAAGTCCTGTATCAAAGTAATGTTTTGGGAAACCATTGATTTTGTAACTATAAAACATAAATAAGTTTGTCAAATTAGATTATAATAAAATTAGAATGATGATAAAAGTGTGTAGCATCCTATTTATTGCAATAATCGCATTACTGAATAGTAATGTACTTTAGTAGCAACCTACTTTCACTTATATCAATAATAGCAATATACTTTTTAACTTTTACATAAACTGCTTAAAACCTTAATAGAAACAGTGAGTATAAATAGAAACGGTCTTGATAATCTTCTACAGTTCCATAATACCTATATTTTCCTTTCTACACACACACATACAGTCAAGTACATACGCACACAAATTAAATGCTAATAAATACGATTATACTTTTATATAGATAATCAAATATGCCAAAATGCCATTATAGTCTCAATCTTGCTATTTAATTAATGAATTCCTCATAATACCCTTAACTAACATGTAGATTACTACTACATTTTGCATAATATGAGAATAATCCATTTGCACGTGAACAAATGAAACTTCACTCCATGAAAAAATATACAGTTAATAGAACGAAGACCAATGTCAATCTAACTGCTACAAATATGATGATAATGCGTACTTATCATCATATTTATAGCAGTTAAATTGAAAGTGTTCTTCGATATAAAACGATACAATCACATATAAACTTATAGAAGGTAGATTGTTATTATTGGCATTATATATACAAACATCGACATACAAAGTAGGATGCTATTAAAATAGACTAACATACAAATAGAATCACATACACACATAGAAACAAACATAGTTAAATACGAATAAAGTCACATCAGCAAAAACATATAAATTCGAAAACAACATCCTACTTACATATTAAAAGGATGCAACTAAGAAACATACACATCAACAAAAACATATAAATGGGAAAACAACATCCTACATACATATTAAATGAGATTTAACGAAGAATGACATACACTTATATGACGAAACAAAGCGATGGGAAGCTTGATCTTATTTTTTCTTTTGTTTTTTGGAGAGGCTCTGTGAGAGAAAATTTGTGTAAATCGAATACCACAATGGTCATATATATATATATATATATATATATATATATATATATATATATATATATATATATATATATATATATATATAGAAAAAAAACTTCTTACCTTCCTGCCAAAAATTTCCTTCTTATTTGATCTTGACTCTCTATATATAGAATATAGATCCGGTAAGAAATTTTTTTTGGTAGGAAGGTAAGAAGTTTTTTTTCTACATATTTTTTTGACGAACAAAATAAATGAATCACTAGATGATTCATTTTGTTTGTTCGCGTAAAAAAAAATATGTAGAAAAAAAACTTCTTACCTTCCTACCAAAAATTTCCTTCTTATTTGATCTTGACTCTCTCTCTCTCTCTCTCTCTCTCTCTATATATATATATATATATATATATATATATATATATATATTATATATATATATATATATACATACATACTAGCCGTTTACCCGCGTTAAGCGCTGGGCGGCAAATAGTTTCTTTCGGAAGATAGTTTTAATGTGATGATTAGTTTCCTTTAGACGTGAGCTATTCATTGCGGCCATTTGATAGACTATTTTGTGTCGAATAGTTCATTTCAACGCATAGTTTCTTGCTAGGTGCATAATCATACAATACGACAGAAGTTGAGTCTACATTTGGAATTTCATCTAATAGTTCATACTTGATTTTACAATATATAAATAACAACAATCTTCAATCATGTAGTTCATACTTGATTTTACAATATATAAATATATGTTTTAAAATATATATGAATCAAAGTTGTAAAATACAGTTGATAAAAGTGTAGACAATGTACATGTAAAAACGAAGGATGCTGGAAGAAGGGTCAGGATCCAGGGATAAAAGAACATGCCACAATCAATTTGATAATTAAAAGATATTTATTGATTAAAAATATCCAAAATAAACCAACAATACATAAAATTTGAAAAAAGTATATACAAATCAATATCATTTAATTTATCAAACCAATACATATTCACAATAAAAACGCCATAAAGTGGCTTAATTTTGTCTGTATTGTCTTAATTTTATTTGACAGGGTGAAATATCAATTAATGGAAAAAACTTAATACATATGGTCACTTATGATATTAACATAAATTTTAGATATAAAATAAAGTTGATGGTTAATATCAGAAAAAGGTCCTACATATTGATTTTTTTTCCGATTGAATGTATGATTCACTCAAACTCAAACTCAAAAACACAATGTCCCAACTTATACATATACATATACAAACCACACATATATACAATGTCAGAAACAAATACATACACACATATATACATATTATATACATGTATTATTTGAGATAGAAGAATAAGAAGATTATCACTTTAGATAGAAGACAGAATAAGATTATCATTTGAAACAAAAGAAGTCTATCACTTAAAACAGAAGTAAGAAATAAAATATTATACACACTTGAAGTTACAAAAGATAGAAGAAGTAAAGAGAACCTGAATTCGTGTCAAGAAACGCGATGAAGCAGTCTTCCCGATTCCAAATCAATGATCCAATCGTCCCAAAACCCTAACTGTCAAATTGTGCTGTGAGAGCTAAAAATGAAGAACATAATTTAAATTTATAGGTGGAATAATCTATTATAGAATAGAAAATGATGTATTTTTGGATATTGATAATCATTCCAAAATTAAGCAAATTAAAACCTTACAATGAATATTAAAATCCATACCAAAAATATTTAAAATCTTACAAACTTAACAAATATACTAAATAAATTTAAAATGAATATAATAACTATCGAAATCCCTACCAAAAATATTTCAAATCATATGAAACTTAGCAAATATACTCAGAAATTTAAAAATGAATATAATATTTGTCGATTTTATTTTTGGAAATATATTGTATTCTAAAGAACATGCAACAGATCGGTTTCATTTTTCTTATGCAAAAATACCCTTATGCAAAAATTATTGTGTTTCATTTTTCTTACTACAAACAATTATAATTTGCATATTTTTAATGGACTTTATTCTATTGCAAATATGTAGTCAATATTTTTTTCATCATAATTTTCAAAAGCATAAAGATTACTACAAACCATGTTAACAACAGAGTTGAATATAAACACACATTACAGTTATTTTTTTTAACTACATTGTTGTAAATGGTTTCAAGTTTGAAAGTAAGTTGCTATAATAAAAACGTTCATCAACAGATCCCACAACTGTAATCAAAACATATGGATATAGTTCTTAAAAAAGATGTCAAATTTGATTTTTCTATAAAAAGACCAAAATACCCTTTATCCAAAATAAAAACAAAAAATAACCTTTTCTTTTCTTTTTAAGCAACCATTTGCACATATCACATTTAATAATTTTTTTAATCAAATCGGGGCAAAACAGTTCTTAAAAAAATATGTCATTGGAATGAAAGTCAGATTTCTTAATAACCTTTTCTTGTATACTATTCCCGAAAACATGTTCTTAAGAAAATATGTCGTTGGAATGAAATTCAGATTGAAACCAATATTTCCTGAGCAGGGGCAAAACGGTCACATTTGTTGCAATATTTTTTTTGGGAACACATAGTCACACAACAAACATAGTACTTTCGTTTGTAAAAAATGTTAAAAATGATATTTTTATAAAGTAGAATGCTATTTTCTGTATATTTTCAAAAGTTTTATTGGTAAATTTCATTTTTCTATAAAAGGACCAAAATGCCCTTTATCCAAAATAAAGACGAAAAATAACCTTTTCTGTTCTTTTTAACCCACCTTTTGCACATATCACATTTAATAACTTTTTTAATCAAATCGGGGCAAAACAGTCTTTAAAAATCTGTCAACAGCGATACAAACTTTCCCAAACAAAACATACTCACACTTTCAAAACATTGTACTTTTGTTTGTAAAAAATGTTAAAAATCATATTTTTATAGAGTACAATGCTATTTTCTGGATATTTTCTAAAGTTTTATTGTATCAACATCATTTTTCTATGAAAGAACCTATAATTATCGATATGTAGTAAATTAATAAACTTTTAAGATTTTCTTTTGACTTGGCCAATAAAAAATTAACAAATATCAGCAACATATATTCAAATTGCATATGAAGAAAAAAAAAAGGAAAAGACGAAAATACTTTGGTAGTGAGATTGAAACCTATATTTCCGAGTCTAAAGTTAATTGTTCCATTTCAAGTTCAAAGTTCCAAAATTAGGTCGTTGACCTTAACGTATGACAAGACTGGAATAGACAGGACTGGACTTGACAAACTCTCTAGGCTACTCTTGATGATGAGAATGATAAGGACATTCATGTCATTTTTCACAAAAGAGAGAAGGGCATAATGGTCAGATGGTGTTTTTGGAACATATAAAGTAGGTAAGAGTTTTAGATACCTTCAACTGCTTCCTCTGCTACTTTTGAATGTTGTTTGACCAAGTCTTCCTTGATACTGATATTTAGAAGAGCTGCTGATAGTTTCTGGGATAAAGACTTGACACCACCCTCAAGTTCTTCCTGTGGTATTTCAGACTTTGATGTGACTTCGGGTGACAAGGAACTTTGATTTGAATATATCTTTTGAAGATTCAAAAATAGAAAAGTATAAGATTTTAACCAACACTTGAAAAAGCAGAAATCAAGGAAGAAAAATATAACAAAAACAAGATATCATAATTGGTCTATTTCAACAAGATTTCTGAGGCATTAATTAATCTTGAATTGTCTAAGAACAAAGAATACACGCATTATCTTATTTCTGTTGCAAAAATTAACACAATTTTGACTTTGAAAGTCAAACACGAACGTATTGCTTTCCAAATTCAAACTCGATTCGCAATTACAAACAGTTTTACATTCTTACTCAAATTGTTCAAATCTTCATCTTTTCTTGTATTCCGATGTAGTTATCTTAATTTCTAGTAAATTTCATAGTAATTTTGGATTTATATGTGATGTGTTTGACTGTAAAAGTTTAATTATAACATGAAGAGGAATCTTATTCTGATCATAGCTCAAGGAAGAAAAGCTACTTAATAGAATTAAGACCATATTTACCAGCCAATAACTACAGACTACTATCAAATCATAGGATGCATTGTTTGGGCAAAAATCAGCATCGAGCAAGGAAAACATAGATGAGAAGAGTATGATAGTCAAATACTTCCTTCTCCGTTTTGTATTACTTTGACTAAAATTGAAATCTTATTCACGTAAAGAACAAAGGGAGTAGAGAAAGAGGGGAGAACCTTGACGGCAGGAGTGACGACTTGGCCAACAAGACCAGGTTCCGAGTATGAACACCAAGCTGACTGATTTGGTCCCATTCACTTCCGTGCTCCTTCGAAGTTCATGTGGCATACCATCCGAGGTCAGGTGGCGACGGTGGAAACGCTGAGAACAGTGAAGATGCACACACCTAAATTAGAAATTAAATGGAGAAGATGATGGTAAATTCCAAATATAGATTAGAGGAATCTATTACCTGGATGAGAAAACGGAGAAGATGATGGCGATTTCCAGATCTGCTCAGCATCTGGTCAAGAAACAAAAAGACACGTCAACACCGTTAAAGATGCATAGCATTGCTACCACATGGTGGTGGCCAGCATCGATGAGTGGTGGCGGGGATAGACAACAAGTTAGGGTAGAGAGAGGGAGAGTACGGATAAGAAAGAAATCAATTCAGAAATTACACTGAAAGCACCAAATTAGTCATCAATTGTTTAAACGTAAACCACTTTCAAGTAAATAGAGATGTAGAGAAAGAGAGAGAGATTCAAGAAACAGAAGGCGGTGATGGAAGTAACTCACTGTTCGAGATCGAGAGAGAGAGAGAGAGAGAGAGAGAGAGAGAGAGAGAGAGAGAGAGAAATAGAGAGAGAGAGAGAGAGAGAGAGAGAGAGAGAGAGAGAGAGAAAGAGAGGCGAGAGAGATCACTGCATCTTTGGTGGGGGAAGTCGGCAGCCGTGGACCTTAGGTGGGAGACGTTGGTGGAGATCACTGCATCTTTGGTGGAGACGATGAGAATTGGTTTGATGACGGCTGTGTTTAGGAGATTAGGGTAAGATCTGTGTAGTGTAATACGTATATGATCCGTGTAGTGTAATTATAAGATTGGTTATATGCTTAATATTATTGTACATGAGGTAATATATGTTGTACCTCTTAATTTTCAAGAAATGGGCAATATCCTTAATAATATAGTAAAGATATATATATATATATATATATATATATATATATATATATATATATATATATATATATATATAAGCTTAGGTTATTTTGTTAACACTATGTATTGTGTTATTGTATTAATCATTGTGGACCAATGAAATATGTAATATTTAAATGAAAATGATTTTCATAAAATAGATTTCAAATAAATGAAAAAGTCTTCACATTTAATGAAAAAGGATCAGGAAGGGTATATGTGTATATTTTCCCTCTCCATTAAAATAGGAAACTGCTCCATTTTCATAACTTCCCCCGCATAATCCCTACAACTACGCATAAGTCCGGATTCCACTACCCTTTGTTTTGGAACACGAAATCAATGAAAATCTCCTATAATCAACCAAAAATAGCAGTAGATTATGTTGTTTTCTTAGTATAAAGTGTTATAGTATTGAAGATCGTTCAAAGAACGTGCACTGTGATCGTTCGAAAAAAAAAGAAATTGCAGTAGAATGAGGAATACAAGGACGAGTTCTTTCAAATCGAAATTTAAGAACACACAAACAACAGTTTTGAATCTAGATGAAGACGATGATGATTTCGTTACTCCGCCTAGAGGTATTTTTTTTTAAAGTTTTTTTTAAGGTAATCGTCTGAGTATAGAACATTCTTTTGGAATATTTGAAAAATGAAGTAGATGCATGTGGTTGTTAAGTTCGTTTAAGTAACAAATAACAAAAATCTGTAAAAATGGAGTATTTTTTTCATTAGGGTTTTCTAAAATTGGGGATTTACATACGAAGTTAAAATTTTGACTATACAGAAATTGGTAATGTGATTCTTGAAGAAATTGTGTTTGTTATTGTGTATTTTGAGTGTGTTTTGTAACCGCGAGAATCGATGTTGTTTCTGTCCTGTATTTCGTTTAGAGATATGTTGTTGGGGTTGTGATGTAAGTCGGACTACATGATATTCTGTAAGAAGTAAAAGGTTAGTTATTGATTTGCATTCTTCCAGAATACTAACTATGTAAAACGGAGTGAACGTAGTTGCTGTTGTGGTAATTTAGGGTGTTAATGTTTTCTTTGTTATTGAAATTTTTTCTAGTACTATAATGTTGTATGGTTTTAATTAATTTGGTATTTTTGTTTTTATAATTTGTAGTTTTAATCCTATTATTTTGATGCTGCAGTTTAGTTATATGTATGGTGTGTATGTAATTCTAACATAATTAGTTTAATTAATTGTGTTAAATTCGTAAAGAATGTGTAACATGTGAAGGGGATATAGTGGTTAAATAAGTCTAAGTCTCACACAATCTTTAAAAATTAATGTTCATATTGGGATTAATATTGGGTCTTTGAATATGTGTTTGTTTCTCTGTGTTTGTTATTGTGATCTGTGAGGATTTAGTGTTATTGTAGTAAAGATGTGGTTTTAATTTTAACATAAAAAGTATACTTATGTTTATTGCGTTCTTACAGAATGAACTAAAGCAAAATTATAATAGAAGCAGTGTACCAGAATTGTGTTTGTGTACATTATACGTATAAGAATTCTGATAGAATTTACTCCTACTAATTATAATTCTAGTAGAATCATTGTAAAATATTCAATGTAAAACACATTATGAGTGTCTATGTTATGCTTATTAACATTCTAATAGAATTTGGACCTAAAAATTAAAATTCTAATAGAATCATTGTTAGGGTATGTGTGTACATGCTTACTTAATTGTAACAGAAGTAAGTGTAGATTAGGGTCATACAGATTGGAATGTGACTGTTTAATATGGAGATTGCTATTAACTAAATGTGTATGTTTTTATTACTGAGAAGTTTGATGAATTAATTTTTTTTTAGTATTTGGTTTTAATTCTTGTAGAAACATGTTTTGGAATTGTGTTTCATCCTTACAGAATGAAAAGTTGTATAATACTTTTAGTTTTTATAAGTAATGAAGTATGGCTGGTTACTTTGACAACTATTATTAACCAACGTTAATCATTCATTTCATTAGTTGTTGCAGAAGCTGATCCAGTCCCAATTAATGTTGATACTTCAAGCCAAACAAAGGTGAGAAGGAACTACCGTACCAGATCAACACCCGTTAAAGAGAATATGAGTACTCAACGTACAGGTAGATTAAAATTTTTTGGTTTATGAAGGAAAATAACAATAATTTTAGAAAATGTTGATAGCCAAAATGTATTAATTGTTAATTAATTAAGCAGAAGGTGGCAGAAGTGGACAAAATGATATGAATATTGTTGGATCAAGCAAAACAAAGAAACCGAGGAAAAAAACTTCAAAATCAGAACATGGAAAGAACAATGTTGAATGTGGTAAGACAGGTTAGATAATAAGTGCATGTAATTAATGAGTTCAACTATATGTTTCTGATATGGCTAATATAGAGTTTATTATTCTATTGAAGTTGTATTATACGATTAGTAATTGTTTTTTTGTGATATAACAGATTTTGACAAAGATAAGAAAGACACAATACAAATTGACAGCACAAGTGTAAGAAGTCTGAAAAGGAAGGGTTCTGATAGAAATACACCTGTTAAGGACAAGAAGAAATCGTCGGATGCAAGTGGTGAAAGGAAAAAACCAAGAGGTTTAAATGAGATTTTTTTGGAGAGGATTAGTGGGTCAAAGAAAAACAATGAGAAGGCTAATATTGGTGTGGATATGGAAGATAAGGAAGATGTTGTTGAAAGGAAGAAGGTGGTGCAAGATGCACATTCATAGAAAGGTCCAAAAAGAAAGAAAGGAAAAGTAGAACATGAAAATGATAAAATCAAAACAATGGAGGGGAAGGTCAGAAAAATAAGCAAGGACCATCCAGAAGGTTATAGAAGATTTGCAACTAGGATGACTCCTGGAAGGATAAGTTCAGCTGTGAAAGTAATGTCACCCGCACAGAAAAATGGGATTGTGTCAATGGGATTTGGTTCACTTCTTCATATTGACATAGACACTACTCCGGGTTTACTTAACTACTATCTGTTAGATCACTATGATCCAAATAGTAGCCGTCTAGTTCTGGAAAATATGGTAATAACAATTACGAAAGACACAATGCATGAGATGTTGGGTTTACCAAATGCGGGGGAAGACTTTCTGAGGTTAAGTAGTTGTGATAAGGATAATGAAGTTCTGCAAGAATGGAAAGGCCAATACGACAAAAAAGGGTTCAATGGTGAAGAATACCTGAAAAGGATCAAAAACACAAAGCAAGACAGTCTTATGTTTAGGCTGAATTTTCCTGACCCTTTTCATTAACACATTTGTTGAATCAACTTTGAGTGGTACAAATCAAATTAATGTTGTGAATAAGTTGGTGTTGGTAAAGGACTTCTCTAAAATTGATTGGTGCAAGTATATCCTAGATTATTTGGTAAGCAGAAAACAACTATGGAGAAGAGATGATAAGACATGCTATTACAGTGGACCTATACTAGTTTTGACGGTAATATTGTTGTGTATATTAAATATTTACTTTATTTTATGACAGTAATATGTATAATGAATTACTTAATGAAGTTTAATCTTTTTTGATGTAGTTGGTGTATGTATATAGCATGAAGTTCACAGGTTTGAAGATAGTGAAAAGCTTACCGTTTGTTAGAAATGTTACTGGTTCTTTACTTGAGAAAATAGAGAAGATGGAAATTAGTGCTGGGGGGTTTGGTAGGCAGTTACTGGAAAACTTTGAGGATAGTGGTGGTGATGATGAAATGGTTGATGAAGATGATATGTAGGACGGGATGATGAGGGATTATGGTGACGAGGAGGTAAGCTATAAATTCACTAAGAATTCAGAACAATATTTCTTTCAGAATTGTAAAAAACGATAGTTTAATATGAAACATAAATGCAGATATTGCTGATTTAAATTGAATGACTTGATTTATAGTTATTGATCTATTTGGAACATTAATTTTTTTAGAATATTAATCATGATATGTTAATATAAAACTTACAGGCATACGTGGCTGTTATCAAGCATAGCTATGGAGTAATATTGTCTGAAAAGAAGAATATTGAAAAAGCTCTAAAACATGGAATTGAGAAATTCCCAGACAGCTTGAGCTTGAAGGAGTGGTGTGAAAAAAACGAAAAATTATTCAAAGAAGTTAATAATGCAGAGAGTGGAGGAATGAAAGACAAGGATCCTAGTTTTGATGGTCATAGTAACAAAGGAGATGCATATGGTGGTAAAGAAGCAGAATTCTCGCCAATTAGAGGATTGGTAGTTGAAGGGGAAAAGAAGGATGATGGTGGAGGTTTCAGTACACCTCAAATGGATAAGGTAGATAATACAGTTAATCTAACATGTTCACAATTCTTGGAGAATCTTGAAGTGTTGACAACAGCAATTAAAATGACGGATGAGGCTGTGTTGGAAAGT